TTCTGGTGTATACTGAAGACCAGCTGAGACATCCAGCCTCATGGACTCAACTGGATTCTTAGACTTTGCATCCCGAGACAGCCAATGTTAGGATAGTCGTGAAGTAGAATAAAGTGGAAAAGACCAATCATTGGATACTGATTTATTAGTGGATACTGATTTATCAGTGGATACTGATTTATTAGTGGTTCCCTCACAGCACTGCTTGTATGACCTATTTATCAAGCCTGGCTTCACTCGCTACCTGAAACAGAATGACCTGGAGGAACAGCAGAAACAATGGGTCGTTGCCCTTAGCAACCCAACCACGGCCATTCTGTAAAGTCCTGCTTGCTTGGCCACCCCACCTGTGGTTTTGGAGTATAAAATGAGAATACAAAATGCACAGGGTATCAAAGTTTTCAGTATCTTTGTTTGTTTGTTTTTCAAGACAGACTTTCTGTGTAACAGCCCTGGCTGCCCTGGATCTCACTCTGTAGACCAGACTGACTTCGAACTCACAGAGATCCACCTGCTTCTACCTCCCAAGTGCTGGGATTAAAGGCGTGCTCCACCACCACCCGGCCGACATCTTTTTCTTCCACTCTCATTGGTGTCTGTGTGCTTATTACAGAAACAGTTGGACCAAAACCTGTAAGCCACTCTAAGATTTCTCATCTATCAGTTCTGTCTCTCTAGAGTAGTGGTTTACAACCTTTCTAAAGCTGCAACCCTTAAATAGCTTCTCATGTTGTGATGACCCCCAACCATAAAATTATTTTCATTGCTACTTGGGGGTTGTGACCCACAGGCTGAGAACCACTCCTCTAGAGAAAGCATCCTGACTAACACAGGGCAGAAACCATAATGGGCAGCCATTGCATAGACGCTAACTTGGGGTCAGGAGAGTGAGTTTGGACACCACTGGGTGACCTGCAGCAGCTCAGTCCTTCTCTTCCAGAAATAACTGCTTCAGTTAGGAACAGGTTGGGGTTAAATCTCCATACTCCTTTCCAGCTCTAAAACTGTAATTCTCAAACCTGCTTGTTAGATGTGACAAATTATGATCTCTCTCTCTCTCTCCAATTACATATGTTCCAGAGCACGGTATTTTAGGTACAAATATGCCAGTGTTTGCTGTCTTGTGTATGTGTGTGTATTCTAGCCCTATGACTAGTGTTTTTTTTTTTTTTTTT